GTGGACCACCTCTCTATATTGGGTTCTCACCTGGCTTTGTTCCACTTCAGTCCTATTTTGGGGGGAATGATTATCTTGCTCTTCAAGATTCCCATTCCCTCCGTTTGGATTTGAGAGATCTTGTCGTGGCAAGTTTTGTTGAACCGGTGGAACAAGATGTTGCAGGAGTGCTACATTTTGCTGGATCAACTGGTCCATATCCTGACTCAGAGTTTGGACCTGCAGTTCCAACGCTGCAAACCGTGTCTGGTCGTTTGGGACGTCTAGGTTTTCACCCGACTCTACCCTTTGACCAAATCCCTGCGACGGTGTTCCTTCGGTAACCATACCGGACTGCAAACATATATACCCAACAGAGTAATTAATTGATTCAAGGGAATCGTCGTTTCCCACAGACGGCGCCAACTGCTGAGGGTGAAATTCACGCGGTCCGATACGACACCGTTTTCCTGCAAGGAAGAGAGGAGAAGTTCGATGAACCTTGAGGGCACCGGTGTGGTGCCTGCCAAGAGCTCTCCGACTGTCAAGTTAGTCACCGGAGGTCTAAAAATAAGGTAGGAATTTAATAATAGTTTTTTTCATCGTCCCTTATTCCCGAGTCGTCGTCCTATTTATCGTCGCTTCCCTTATTCTCGATAAGGGAATTTCATCATCCTCATCCCACGGGACTTATCCCATGGAAATCTTATCCTTGATCATCATCCCCATGGAAATCTTATCCTGCATAAGATTTGTCATCATTCTTATCCATGGAAATCGTTACCTCTAATAATAAAATATTATCGTTGATCACCGAAAAGATCTGGCGGCTGGTCAACACTTGGTTGCCTCTATCGTTAGGTCAAGATAGATTTATTTTTCTCTATCATAAATCTTATCACTTATTATGCAATACATTACATAATTATGCAACATGTGATGTAAAATTATTATGATAACACGGGACATCTTGTATCACAAGAGAAGATCCAATTTTAACGCAAATGAAATGAAATGAGAGAGACTCAATGTATGTCTAAGGATGGCAATTTGCCCCCACGGGGACGGATACCCGCCCCATCCTGTCCCGTTTATAGCGATTTTGGGAACCGTTTAACTTATTTGGGCAGAGATGATTTTTATTAATGAAAATTCGCACGGGTTCGGAGTGAGAGAGGGGGGAGGCCAACTCACCCTGCCCCGCCCCGTTTAGTTAGATAAATTACCAAATTACCTTAATTTTATTAATATATGTAGTTAGTTTTAGAAATCTCAAAGTTATATTCAGTCACTGTCTTAATCGTTCTAGAGAGTAACAGAGTCTTGCGAATTAAGAACGATCATATCCTTGAACAGGACAAAAATAAGGTAGAAAGACCTCTGTTTAAGCAATTTTGGACAAAAATAAAAGAAAGGTTTCTAAACAGTTACGAAGACGAGAGACGAAACACCCGTCCAAAATCGTTCCCCTAAATTATGAGCCTATGTAATCTAACACTTTCCACATAAGAGATATTTATGTACCGCAATGTATAATGTGGAAAAATACAATATAATATATATATTCATTGTTTCCGGTCCAAAAGACAAGCAAGCAAGAAACAGGGGCAGTTAGATTATATGAGAAGCTTGGTTCTTGTATTTGAATTGGACACTTGGGATTGGGGGACACAAATAACAAAACTTTTTGACAATTGGACACACTTTTTTGGTGATGGGGACCTGGTCGGCCAATGTATTACTTTCATTCCTTTTTTCTGTTGTTATGTACAGAGAGATCTGTTGTATTCCACAATACAAAACCCAATAAAATAATGCAGCCAACAAAAAGATTTTTTTTTTTTTTTTTTTTTTTTTGGTGTGTATAGAGAGATCTGTAACTTTTATTTATTTATTTATTTATGTTTTTTCGCTGTCTGTATCTATCATAAAAAATAATAATAATAATAATTATTATTATTTAACACGTGATAAGTATAACCAATCACGTCAAATTCGATATTAATTCAAAAATTTCAATGTTAATTCAAAATTTCTTTTTCGGTTCCTTTATCAGTACTCTAAATAAAATAAGGTAAATTACATTAGCTTGAGGAGTAGATCATTTATGGTTTAGTAGTTTGATTTTTCCTAAACTCCTTGTTAATCATAGAAAAGTGACCTTGAACGTGGAAAGATAATTTTATCTCTATATTATAATAATATATTATATTACATCTTACATAAGGAAATGATGAAATTATTATTTTATAAAATTTGATTAACAGTTCTATCAGAAAGAAAAAATTAAGGGTATTTAAATGTATAAGAAATTGCTCTCTGTTAAGAAAGTATATTTTTTACACTTCAATTGAATCATTTATATTTTTTATCTTCCTCTATTTATAGAAATCCATTCTTACCCTAAAAATCTTTTGTTCTTCTCGAACCCTCAAATATTGTGGGCTTTCTTTCTTCCAAACAGGCTTGATTACCTCTTGGGCCGATCTCTCGATCGAAGCGGGCCTTGCTCTTGGTCAAGGTAGGCCTTGAACGAGAGTCAGTGGGCTAGAGGGTCGTTGAGCCTTCCTTTGGACTGATGGGCCGGGGTAGCCTCGGCCCAGCTTGATTACCTCTAGGACCGATCTCTCGTTCGAAGCGAGCCTTACTCTTGGTCAAGGTAGGCCTTGAATGAGAGTCAGCGGGCTAAAGGGTCGTTAGGCCTTCCTCTGGACTGATGTGCTGGGGTGGCCTCAGCCGAGTGGGATTTTATGCCCCTTCAGTATCATCTAGCGCACTTAACAAATTTCAAAAGAAATCAAAGTAACAAACGTTCAAGGCCTGTTTAGTACGCGTTCTATTTTTTATATTTTGTTTTAACCCGAAACAAAACAAGTATTTTGTTATAGAGTGTTTGGTAACGTCCATTTCTTACAAGTTTTAAAATGCCATTTAAGGATTTTTTTTTTTTTTTTAAATATTGTTCATTGCTATATACCAAACACTATATTGCAGAAACATATAAAAAAACTAAACTGATGTTTCTTTTTTGGCCATTATTCATAAAACGTTTTGGCACTATGTATAACAAAATAGTTTTTTGTTGTTATAGTACCCGATAAAAATAAAAGCACTAAAAACAAAACACATACCAAACAGACCCTCAATAATAAATATGTGTAATTCACACTAACCTTAAGAGATCATAATAATTAACTCATGAAATAAGGATCAAAATTCTCTTCGACACAATAATATATTTATTGTAGCCCATAAATTTTGTTTGGAATACATGGTACCAAAATATTGGATGTTGACCTCACATCCCAACTATATCCTAACGTGTGAAATAATGCTGCCAACAAAAAGAAAACCCTAGACTAGAGATAGAGAGCAGCAACAGATAAGAGTTGTTAACCTCAACATTATTTTCTTGGATCTATAAACCAATATTAAATGGACAACACCTTATCCGAGAATTTGATGGTCCAATTCGACAGTTGGAATAAAGTCAATGGGTGGTTTTTGGCCCTTGGATTGATTTTGACTTTCAATGTGAATGGCCAAAGGAAGTTTTCTTTTAATTTAAACCTCAAATTGGCCCATTAATAGAGACAGAAGTTGAATTCATCAGTCCGCTGTGTAAAATGATTTGTCGGAAATTAATGGGTTAATTATTTTTATTAAATTTTAATATATATATATATATATATATATATATATATATATATATATTTGTAAATATTTTACGATAATTCAACACTAAAAAATAAAAATAAAAATATTTTTTTAAAAATTATTTTACATCCAAACAAATATATTTAACATAATTTCTGTATTGAATATGTTGAGAAGGTGAAATTCAAAACTCTCCTTAATCAATTTACATGTATAAGATTTTATATTCTTGATAAGCATATTATTGATAATGAATTTTTTTTTTTAATTATAGGTTATAATCATTAATCAATGATTATAACATGCACTATAGACTACCACTCTCAACTAGAATTTTGTCAATTAAGCGGCCATTGCAACTTCCTTTAATTTAAACCTCAAATTGGCCTATCAATCTAGATAGAAGTTGAATTCATTGGTTGGGCGAGTTAGTTATTTTTGTTAAATTTATATATATATATATATTTTTCGAAGGTGAAATTCAAAACTCGCCTTAATCAATTTACATGTATATGATTTGATATTCTTGATAAGCATATTATTGATAATGATCTTTAATTCATTGTAGGTTATAACTTATAATCAATGATTATAACATGCATTATAGACTACCACTCTCTCAACTAGAATTTTATCAATTAATCGTCAACGATATATATGTATTTTTTTCTTTACATGTCGGGTTGTGATTGGCCCTGACTCAAAACACTAGAAATTGGTACAATATAACTTCCTATGCCAACTGGACAGAAAAGGCAATAACAAAGACATTGGTTGAGAACTCACTTTCTCTATACCTGTTGTGTAACCCATCATTCCAGATCAGTTGGACCAGAAAAAAGGAAGGGCACAGCCCACTTGGGCAAAAATTCTGCAACCTAATAGCAGACTACTTATTCGGAAATGATAAATAATTGAAATTTGAAACCCAACAAAAAAATACACACACACACACACACTTGAGACACTTCAACTAAGGAAGATGGGGGTGTCTTTGAAGCTCTTGGTAGACATCTTCATGGGTTCAAATCCATCCAACTGCTGACCAATTTCATATTTGCACCAAAAATGTGCTAAGCTTCCAAGGAAGAACACTTCAAAATGAGCTTCATCTTTCGATTTTCTGCCAATAATAAGAGGAAAAACGACGCTACAACGCGACTCTTCTAGAACTTGTTTGAACAAAGCCAGTGTGCAAACAAGCTTTTTTCAAAACAATTTCTATGCGCAATAAACATGCCAGAAAACCTGACTACGTAAACTCAAAGCACCTTTAGGCTTTGCTAGTTTCCGTTATCGTCACATTTTCTATAATAATTAAGATTCAATCAACATGCATAGGAAAAACAAGATAAAAACGGAAGTACCAGAAAATCAGCAAAACTTATGCTCAATTGTCATACAGAGTTCAAATTCTTTCGCATTTTCTCTACTTTCTACTTTCTGTTGCACTTGTTCATAGCATATGGTGATGGAATTACTAGAGAAATGAACTAGAACATAGTGCTGGTGCTGTAACAACAATTTATATCGATGATGAATATATTTGGTAAAAGTATATTTGGTAAAAGTTTGCCAAAATCCGAGATTTGCCCAAATAAGGGAAAAGTAATCGCCCTGACCAATTTTCACAATCAGCTGAAGTCCCCAGGTTTGCCAATTTTAATCTTCTGTTCACCTAGAAACCTTGTAACAGCATTTTTTTGCCAGCCCTTGAAACTCCTGCAACCAATTATCAACGTAATGTGAATAAAGTGGCCGATATTCTTCCAACTTAGAATTCCATCAGGTTATCTACAGAGTAGGGTTAAAAGACTGCCAACGGTTTTTTTTTTTTTTTTTTTTTTTTTTTTACTTCTTATTTATCACAACAAACATATAGAGTATGTTTCTTAAATTTCCCCATCTTATTTTCCATATAAATTCTCCCTCGTTGAATGCATTGGAAAATTCACTTTGGATCATGCGTTGTTCTCAGCAACAATAAAAACAATAAGAAAAAAAATTATTACAGAAAACACTACATTTCTCCATGTGCCTGGTTAACTCCATCTATTGATCGATCTTTCTTGCTGATTGTTAACGCCATGTTGGCCCTAAATCAGCCATTTCTACATTACAAAATATGACACTTGAATTTGCCCCTTATTGCATCTACATTAGGCAAACTTCTACCATGAGTTCAATCGATACTATCAATACGTTTTTAGGGCTATCATCAATGGGTTGCAAGCAGTGCAGATGTAGAAAGATTTGAATTTATTCTGATTATATATACCAAGACTCGAGTCCAAATCAGAATTGCAGATCATATATAATACAGAGTTCAAATATGATAAAGTATCTGAAAATCCAAATTCAATTCGAAGGCAACAGGACTGAGATTAACATAAAATGTGAGGATCTAAAAATATAAATTACTATGGTACTGTATTATGTAATATTATATAAAATATCCCCTTAAAGGATATATAAAACATTGCTTTGTTAAATCTGGAGAGACTCAAATCTTAACTAAATCAAATTTCCCCTCCCAACTACTTATTTAAAAAACCAAAAAAAAAAAAAAAGATCTCCCCTCTCAACCAAGGGCAGCCTAGTTGGGTGTGTGTGAGTTTCTTGCCAAGGATAAAATGAAATAAAATCTCCCCTCCCAAAAAATAAAAATGGATCAAATCTACATGGATTCAAATTTGTCCCTAAATAACTCAATCTTAGTATATTTCAATTCATTTCTTCAAACCATTGTAAAGAAGATAACAAAAAGAATGGGGATATATTTTTCAGATCATTTTAAATTTTTTTGGAATAAGTAGTGTACAATGTTTTAAAATGTGTTTTTCAAATTGGAGATCACTAGGGTGTTGGCACTTTTTTCAGTACATGCACAATAGACCATCTTTTACTGTATGTTAAATATATAACTGTGGAGTTTAAATCCTCTGGAAGAGGAACAATAGTCAGGAATGTCAATAATTTCCTAACCTCAGAACATGTACTCATTTTTTACATGTCTTAGCATCAAGTGCTTACTTGTTAGGTTGAAAAGTAGATAAGCACTTTAAGTATTGGGACACATGCACATTTCACAATCTAAGTATTCTGTAATAATTATAATTAAGCAAAACTTGGAATGGCGTTTTAATGACATGTTGAGTCATTGAAAGTTCTGTTTAACAAACTTACTTCTGATCAAGATGTGCCAAAATTTCCCCACCGGGGAAAGCTGCTTTTGTAGCATCAAATGAAACTTTTATTGCTTGCTTCCAAGTCCCACCAACATCTGCATCTGTTTCTGCTTTTGACTGGCTAGGATCTTCCATCGGCAAGGAATATCCAGAAAGCAGATGGCCCACCCAAACACCATCTTTCCTATAATTAATAAGAAAGAAATGTCTTCTCATCATGGTACATACAAAATCTCACAGTATTTACATTTATATCTACTTTTCATCTAATATTCAAATATCAGTAAATTTCGAAGATCAGTGCAACTGTTTTATTACTATCTCAACTTTCTCCTTTGGAAATTGAGACTTTGGTATATGCAGTATGTCAATTGGACAAAATGTAATTAACAAACCTCATAGAAATGACTAGATTCGAGTCTAGTAAATTTCTCCTATATTTATATATTACCACATTTACTCACCATTCTTAAAGAAGAATGAGCTAGTCTGAGAGATGACAGCAGACAAGTCACTGAGATTGCTGGTGGTATAGGAAACACGCTTCAAAACCAATTACCATAGAACAGAGAAGCTAACAGGTAACTTACAGAACTATATCCATGTGCCGAGGTACATAATGTCCACCTCCTAATCCAAGAAGGACCTTGTTTTTATCGTTCTTACTGAAACATCAAGAGTTTAAATTGAGGTCAGAGAGTAATCTTGAACAGTAATATACAGGTTATCACAAAGTTAATTCAACAGGCATATATAGAAAGATGAAAAGTACAACTTTAATCACCAAATAAATGGAGAACAGTTGACCATAAACGTTGGCCTAGTGCACCATCATATGGAGAAAGCGAAGAGCAAACCACAAAATAGAAGCTAGTAATAATGCAGGAGCAGAGTGAAATTCTTGAGGCGCATGCCTCATACAGTGTTTAATTGTGGATTGTGGAATGGCATCAGTAAAGGCTGGATGAGTTTTATAAGCATGTTCAATTTCTAGTTTGGGAAGGGGACAGGATGAGCTTTTGGAATGACAGATGTAGAGCAATCCTCTAAAGGGATATGTACAGAATTATTTATGATTTCAGTGGAATAAAGATGCTTTTTGAGTCATATTACCTCAGCCAGATGGGCATGCAGTGGTTCTTTATGTTAGAATTAATAATGTGATACATGATTGGAGATTTGAATACTACATATTATCCAAGGTGGCCTTTACATGGACATCAACTCAAGGGAAGATTCTAATGACAGACAATTTGATAGAAAACAGAACTTTATCATTGGAGCTGTGTGTGTACAGTGTACGGAGATAGCAGAGTCGGAGAAGCATCTCTTGATTCATGTACAGTAGCTAGAGACGGTCTTTATTTATTATTAGACTTTTTTGGAATGCATAAGTTTTCAGGATTTTGAAGAGAATTCTTATTCTTTTGTTCCCTTCTAGGGTTTTATAGTTTCGTGCCTTTACAGTGCATGGTTCCACCTCTGTTTGGTGCCTTTTAGTGAAATACCATCTCACACAAAAAATAGTAATAATACTAATTACAAGAGCAGAAATAAATGCAAGTCTAAGAAGCAAACATGAAAGAAGCCTAAGGTCTCGCTCAAGCCAATGGTACCTGTTCCAGTTTCCAACAGCACCACCTCCTCCAAGCCCAAGTCCTTCCCAAACTAACTTCACACAGAAACAATCCCAATTTATTAAGTGGAATAAAAAAAAAAAAATCAAATAAATATCACTTTGAACCTAATAAAAATATCAATGAGCTACATGATGCTTGCATTTGAAACTAAGGTTTAGCATGAAAAAGAGATCGTTAGGAAAATAGTGACATTTTAAGAAATTGTGATATCAAAATGCAACCATCAAATACTAATATCACTGACTGGCAAGGTCTGGTGAACCAATTTATGCTTCAACACAAAGAGTCGTTAGAATTTAACAAACTACATAGAATTTAACAAACTACATAATCTGATGTGTATATTAATGCTCTGCATTAATCTGACTTTTCCCCCCATTTTAAGAGAAAAGACAAGTAACACGTAGAAGCAATGCTATACCACTCAACGGAAGTTGAAATATGATAACAACTTTCAAATTGTAAGAAAGAACAAACTCAAGCATAATCAAATAAAAATCAACTGGGAGCAGCGAAATGCCATAGCTTCCTTTTAATATTAGAAAGGATGAGTGTTTACTCAACTAGAGCAATAACATGAGCAGCATCTTCCCTCCTCCAGTACTCCTCTGTACTACCTAGATCAAAGGAAGAGAAAATAAGAGAAATAAGAACAAAAAGTTCAATATGTTTTCATCATTTGCAAGTCAATCCAACAAAGACTAATAATTGCAATTATCAAGAATGTTTCAAGCTGAAGTAAATAGATGGATGATGGAAAGGCCAGAATAATTGAGTTGAGACTGTTAAACCAGAAGACCAACACTTACCCTAATGTTAAGCCCTGTGTAAAGGAAAATTTGGGGAAAAGAGAGACAGAGAGAGAGAGAGAGAACATTTTCAGAACCAGCCCAAAGGTAGACAGTGCTTTAAGTTCAGTTATTACTAAATAGACATAAACATATCCACCAAACTCTACACTTTTTTTTTCTTTCCTATTTGAAACTCACACACCCTCTTTGGTTCTAAGGAGAGTATAACCATCAACCTTATACTTTGGAAGGGAAGGAAGTACCACTCGGTCATTAATTAGGAAAGTATAATTACAACACTCCATAATATGAATAAGATTTTATAAAAGGAAGAATTTACTTCTAACAAATAAAACAATACGGTAGTAACCAAGGATAAAGTCCATTTATTAAACCCACAAGACAGGCAAGTATCTGTTATTGTCTGTATACTTGGAGGGATGAGTACAAGGAAAGTAGAGAAAGGAGAGGGGAGGGAAGGATGGAGTGCCTACTGTTTGGCAGGAAGGAAAATGGACAGGAAAGGAAAAGCAGAACTGAAAATTTTCCACTTGGACGACTAAATCCTTTTCCACTGAAAAGTTGGTGGAAATGAAAGAATGGAGTATGACAATGAACATGAGAAGTTACATGTTGGAGTGTTAAAACAAGATGAGTGACACTATCTAACTTCCATCGGTTAACCACATCCATATTAACTCTACATAAAGGAAAAGATCAATCACTAGGAAAAGAGGGAGATCATCTTGTAAATGCTGAAAGATATAATATTTCAGTATGCTGAAACATTCGTCAATCTACACAATGTCGTACTAAATTTACCAATCCAAACAACATTAATTTAAATTGATCAAAATGGTATAAAACAGTGAAGAATTTACCAATCTCCGCAAACATGGTTGGCTTATTTGTCACAGGTCCATGATGAGTGGCCTCAAGAGTAATCTACATCAACCAAAAGATAATAAAGAATTACTTAAATATTGACCCTACATTGCCATATAACTTAAAAAATTGAATTTCACCAGTGAAAAGAACAAGTCTGCCTGAGTAATGTCAGTTAAAAAGTGACAATACGACACAAAATTAACTTAGTATAACGAATTAAGTGGTGATAGCGGTGGGTGTGGCAGTTAAGCCTTTATTAACATAAACATTGCAGTTTCTTCTGCTGATACTATTGATGCCCGCAAGCAAAAGCAGCGGTGGGTGTGGCAGTTAAGCCTTTATTAACATAAACATTGCAGTTTCTTCTGCTGATACTATTGATGCCCGCAAGCAAAAGCAGTGTTGGTGTTTAGAAAGACTCCATCACCACCATCACAACTACCATCAACACCACTTTTGGCAGCAACAACAATGGAAACAGAAATGACTGCAGTAATAATAAGGACGGCTTTTGTGTCCACATTAAGCTAACATATGTTATAATGTGTGTTAAACCTGCATTGTTTAAAATGACTAAAATTCACCACAAGCACAATTACTTAACAAATCCAACATTGCCCTAGTAGGAAGTGTGCCTTCCTTATTTGATGAAGTGGAAGCCATGAAAGTTCACAAATGGATAATAGCTTTGAATCCACAAAGTTCAAAGAAACCAATTCTATTATTGATGAATAATGAATGTTTAGGTATGCTCAGTACATCTATTTATACTAGTATTGAAATCCTAAGAGCAAAAGTAATACAAAAAAAGTCCAATTTGGCACTTCCCTAAAAATTAGGAAAAAATAGTGATACATTCATAATGACTAAACTAATATAACTGCCAAATTTTAGAAGAATCCGAGTCTGTTTGGACCACCAAAAAAAAATTGACAGTCTTCCTGCAAGTTATCACTGAAAATCGTGATTTTGTGATTTTGGGACCCTATACGATGAAATTTGGCCAAACAACAACATATCTCATGTATTATCTTGTGAGTATTAATTTTCAGGCCGTTTCCTATCAGTAATGAATTTCTGCAATTCAAAATGAGTTCTTTGCAGTTTTGGTAGACGCGATTATAAAAAATTAATGGATTTCAGTACATTATCAATGTTCTTAACTTACTCATTATCAACATTCAACATTCTTAACTTACTCAAAACTGTACCTAGAACAAACCGCGACGTAAAACATTGACTGATGTAAAAAGCATAATACAAATATACCTCAAATTCAGGAATTAGATTATGGGATTCAGCGATTTTCTTCAAGAGTTTCAGCCATGGTGCTATCCGAGGACTCGGTGGTGCAGCCCATCCAGGCTTCCCACCTTGTGGTGGCACATCTCCTTCCCTCAAATGTGGTACTCCTGACCAAAAATAATAACATGTCCCGTTAACAACAACATATGAATGCATTGACAAGGTATAATCTATCATTCTAAATGGAGGTTGAGTGTTCGAACCGACTAAGGGCAATATTGTGGGTATGTGCGCAGTTGTTTAAACTTACAAAAAAAATAAAAAATAAAAAAAATAAAAAACACAACAACAACAAAATGAATTGCATATAAAAACACAAACATATATATATATATATATTAAATTCATAAAACTAGACACACATATATATGTATACCAATTGGGTGTACAGTGAGGGCAGGGCGGTTAGAGACGGCGGTGTGTTTGCTTAAGAAGATGAGCTCGTCGACCACCTCACCGGTGGTTTCTTCCCAACGCATGTCCAAGTCATCCTCTTCCACAATGCCTTTGTCGTGCTCTAACAGTCTCACTTCTCCATTTCTGAAACTTCTGATACCCTTTTGATCCAATTCCCCAAAGAAGATTAAAAGGGTACAATTGAAAACCCACAAACATGCATATATCAATATAGATATATGTATAGATATTTCATGGAAAAATTAATCAAATGATACATAGAGGGGGATGGGCAAACCTGGAAGGAGGCGCCAGGTTGCCAGCCGGGCATGGCCAATAAGGCGGTGGCAGGGCCGATTGAGGCAGGATCGGTGGTGGTGGCAACTACTAAAGTCACCATATTTCTTTCTCTATATAGGATTGTGTGTGTGTATATATATATAAGCGCGTATCGGTGAGACTCCGATAGTTTCGCTAGGCTAAAAAAAAATTAGTAGGAGTATTATAAATTGTTGAATTCTTGAGGAAGAAGTTGAATATAGGTTTACAAAATTTGGTAAGTCAAAAACAAGGAATCAGACGGTGTTTTCAGCACATTGGAATAAAATTGAAAATTAATAATACAATAAAAAAAAATTACTTCCTCGGTCAACAGTAAGTTTCCTTTTTGAAAATTTAACATTTTTTTTTATTATTATTGAAGACAATTAGAATATCTAATAGTGTGTTAAAATATATTTTTTTTTTTGTGTAAAATATAAACTTAAATTTTTTTTTTTAGTGTTTTTTTTTTTTGTATAAATTTAATATGTGATAATAGATTTATACAAAAATTTTGGATATCTTATATCTTTTATGTAAAAATATATCCCCCAATAACAACCAATCAGAATATTTATAAACCTACTTAATATATGGTTGATTCTTAATGATAAGAGAAAGAGAGAGGAGGAAAGAAATATGTTGATATGGCTGTATAAAGAGGTGGTGTTGGCAATTTATTTTGGAGATAAAAAAAAAAATTTACACATCATGCTGGCATTATATATTTTACACAAAAAAGTGTTTTAACATATTGATGAAGATACTCTTACTATACACTGCCACGTCACCAATGTGTAAAATTATTATGTATTTTAGAGCATCTCCAACCGTTGTGCATATTTTTTTTTTTTTTTTTTGTAAATCTGATGTGTCACGATGAATTTATTCAAAAAATTTGAATTATTTAATTTTAGTTACAACGGTTTGTCATGCCAGACCCTACATAATTTTTACAAACCTACTTAATATATGGTTAATTCTTAATGAAATGAGAAAAATGATGGGAAAGGAAATAAACATATTTCATATATGGTTGATTCTTTTACACATTGATGATGTGACAATGTATATTAACAGACTATTAGAGATGAAAAAAAAAATTACACATCATAAGTGGCATTATATATTTTATACAAAAGAATATTTTAACATACTATTAGAGATCCCTCAATTTATTGTAAATTTACAAATTATATATATATATACATACACAGACATATATATATATATATACACACACGTCGCCGGGGAGGGAGTGAGACGTTGACGTCGACGTCTCCGGGTCGCTTGCTTTCGGTTCCTTCTCTTGCCGAATCGTCCGCCGTCTATTACAAGTATTGTCTTATATAGCTCTTTTGATCATCAATAGATGATTTTGTGCATAGAATTGGCAGCGAGATCTTGCCTCTTTTACAAAATCGAAGAGACAAAAATTGCGGATGTCAAAATGGGGCTGCGCTACTGGCTGACTTAAATGGAATGTTCATTTTCTCACCTGCTCTACTATACTGCCAGGCTAAGAGAAAGGGAAACTAGGTTAAAGTTAGGTAGACAGGAGACTACGGTGCAAATGGACACTATTGAGGGATGCTCTAACTTGTTCAGTGCCCTTCCTTACGGTGCAAATGGACACTATTGAGGATACTAACTTATTTGGCATGGTTGTATTGTGTCCAACAGTGCAAGAACAATTTGCAAGAATGGGCCAATTTTCGGAACAAAAAATTCGTGTTCCAAAGTGTACCCAAAATAAATTCGGCCCACTATTCACTGTAGAAAGCAGAACAACAGCCCAAAGTTAGAGCATTCTAAGAACACATATTTAAAGAATCGGTGGAACATTGCCCTTAATTGTGAACTTGCCTCCATCTCTATTCTCGTTCTCAACTGTGAACTTGCCCTAATTTCTAAAAGAACACTCTGAACTTGCCTTCTCTCTCTGCAACTGCAAGCTACAAAATCTACAAGAATCAGAAGTTCGAAACCCACCTCCATCAGAAGTTCGAAACCCACCTCCATCTCCCCCCCCCCCCCCCCCCCCCCTCCAAGAACCCCATTGATTCATACATAGATAAGCTCAGACTTAGCATTTTACAGCTAATTGAAAAGGACTCTTTTGGCTCTCTGATCTTATTTGACTATTTCTATTCCTCCTTGTATATCCGTTCTCTCTAGGTAAACAGGTAGATCAACCCAAAAATTACCGAATACGATTTGTGAGTTGTTGAAAACGATCTCTATCTCAGCTCTGCGTTTTCCGGCGAACCCCACCTCTGCATTTTCCGGCGAACCCAAAGCTTCAGTTCCGACGAACCCCACATCTGCGTTTTTTTAATTGAATTTTTGTTTGATCTAAATTCTCAAATCTCTTGCAATTTCTTCACCTGCTATATATATATAGCAAAATAGCTTGAATCCTCATTTTTTATATTTGTCTATCTGAAATTTTAAAAAAATTGTTAAATAATATAATATATGACTTATTATTAGGTAATATAATATATGATAAAATTTGTTTTTCTATATATATGTATATATCAAAATAGCTTGAATCCTCATTTTTTATATTTGTCTATCTGAAATTTAAAAAATTTAAATTTAAATGGAGAAAGAAAATAATTGTGACTTATTATTAGATAATATAATATATAATTAAATTTGTTTTTCTATTTTTAGTAAAAAGGTACTATGAAGAAGCAAATTTTCTATTTAAAGGTTTTTATTGGTAATTTTTTAATAAAAAAAACCCAACACTCATACTAATTTCATGCAATGAAATTTATTGGTAATATTTATAGGTTTTTATTGGTAATTTTTTAACAAAGGAAACCCAACAATTTTTTTTGGTAACTTAAAGTTTTGGAATTTGTCACTTAAAAAAAATATATATTTCATGATTTTTTTTTAGTGATTTTGGTTACACTTTTACTCTACCAAACATGTTTTGTTCCTATATTTCTTGGAACGAAATACATTACCAAACATGTTCTACAATGTTTTTGTTCCAAAATTCTCATAGCAAATTTTTGTCACCAAACATATTTTGGTCTCATTTCAGAATAGCACACTACAAAACACTTGCTCTGTTCTAAGCTAGAACATTACACTACACTACACTACACTTCCCAAACGGGCCCTAAGAAGCCTATGGCAATTTGGGAGATGCAGGCTCTAATCCCAATCATCCACTTTTTCTCCCTGTCATCCGATCGCTTCAATTAGGGCAGCTATGGCGGCCAGGTGGAACATTAGAATTATACCACCCCTTCTTCCATTGATTGACGAAGAGTCATCGATCTAGTCATTATTATTAGTTCGGTCGCAGATAGCAGTTGTCTGGTCAACATGGACCATTGTACGATTTGATTCTGTATCTTCCTTTCAGCCAATGTTCTTTCGATTTTTCCTACTTATTTGCAGCACATACATATAAATCTATGAAGTACGGAGACCGACACCAACACCGACACGGGACACGCATATGATATGACACTGACACGGCGATACGATAAATTTTAAAAAAATAGGATACGGACACGGCAAGGATACGGTAATAAAATAATAATATATATTTTTATTATATATAAAATTTTAATTTCTCTTAATTTTTAATTTACATTAATAGATATGATCCATTTAAATTATGTCCAGTCCAAATTCTATTAAAATTCAAACAATAAATATGTAGTATATCTTTACTTCCAACATTAGAATTTATATCAATACTATAATAGTTTTATTGTTATAACCAAACACACTGAAAGAGGATTGTAATCTTATCTCCTCGGTTCCCACGTTTGACTGATATTCTCTCTACTCTAGCCAAACACATTACTCCGTCTCTGAACTTCCATGTTCCATGTTCCATCTTCTTTCTCCTCCGCATATTCTCTAAAAATAGACGAACAAATTTTCACACAAATAATTAAAGAGATTTCTGCTTTCATTCTGCCTTCGATTGATCCACACCAATCAGAGCATGATCATCAGGTTCTTCATCATCACTTTGTTGATTTCCCCTCTTTTTTCCAATTTCTCTCTCATCCACTCCATTTTTTTTTATAGCTTTTGGTTTGTTGTCTTCGATCAGTCCACAAACTCTACACAAAAAACACACACATATCTCTTCATCCTCTCTCTCTTTCAAACAACAATCTGAACTGCGGTGTCCTCCGATGTACCAACCATGTCCTCCGGTGTGTCCCGGCCGTATCTTATGACATGTTCGACTTGAAAAAATGAATAAAAAAATAGGACATCGGTAGAAGGGTGTTGGACACGTGTCAGAAGCTGGGATACGTGTGTCCGTGTTGGACACGTGTCCGACACTGGTACGTCACCCCTACCACGCGTATCTGTGCTTCATAGATATAAATATATATATGTCTGTGTAAATTTGTAGTCGTATTTTTATTTAATTTTTTTTTTTTAAGGTTAGAGAGATTTTTAACCAAGTCAAAGGGTATTTAGGGGGCAAAATTGTCTTTTATATTTTTTAACGGAAACGTGACAGAGAAGTGAAAATGGACCTAAGTGATAGTTATTTTCGAAAAATATTTGAAAGTGATATTTGGCTAAACTTGAGGGAGTGTCAGTGAAATTAACCCTAAAAATAAATAATTCAAAATAAAATAAAAAAGAGTTGGAAATGATCTCACATCGTATACCCTCTCTTTATCAACATTTTTTCTCAAAAGTTTAAAATTTGACATCAATTTTTAGTTTGGAATTTTTATTTTGAAGTTTAGGTGTTAGTTGTGATTACAAAAGTATAATTTATTTTAGGGTCGCGTGCGAATTACACTTCTTTAATATCGATATAGTGCATATAACCCCGTTGTTTGTTCACCGCCCCTGTATTGACTTCTATTGATTGGAGTTACAAAAAGACTAAAATAGCTTTTTAGCTATGATTTGAAAATAATAATAAAATAACATAAAATGGGAAAAGAAAAAGAAACTCTTTGTCAATACGACATCGTTTTAAGCTAGAGGTTGCCTGCAGTCTATCAAACCCACTTCTTTGAGAGAGAAACTTCCATGGCAAGAACAGGAACAGAGAGAGCCAATTAAAGAAGTGCAAGAACAGAGTCTGTAGTTTTCGGGGTCTAGGTTGGAAACTGAGAATAAATATCCCGTTGGTGACCCGATGGGTTTCGGTTCCTCAATTCGCATAATTTCATCTCCTTGGGTTCATGGAAGCAATTCCAAAAAAACCCAGTTTGATTTTAAAACTAGAAATCCACAAGATGTTTGGGAAAAGGGCGAAATTATTAATGAATTTGGCAGAAATTTCAAAAACAATTATCATAATGTAGGTCAAGAATCCACAGGAGCAAATTATAACGGCGAATGAAAAGAAAGAGTTCAAATTAATTCAAACCCAATTGGGTTACAGGAGGAGGAAGAAGCTGTGCTTGTTGGGGCCGATAATGGCATTTTTTTTTATGGAAAATTATCGAGGGTTGATAGAGAATTCCATAGTTTTGAGGGTTCTAGTGATGACAGGGACTCAACGAGGTTGCCATGGAAGAGAGAGAGTGATACGAAATCCATGGAAGTAGAGAGGTTGAGGAATAGCAGCACCAAGTTGGCAGAGAAATGTTAATGTCATTTTCAGTGTACAGTATATATTTGTTGAAACTTAACCAAGATTGTTGTGTATGATTGATCAGTGATTAGCAAATAGCTAATGTCATTTTCTGCAATTTGTCGAATCGAAGCACAATAATCAGGTAGAAAGAGACTGGGGTTATATATATATATATATATATATATATTGCAAAGGAATATAAGAAGGGTAATTTTGAGAATAAAGTGTTTAAAATGGTGATGTGCCATGTACATGACCAACTAACGTGCATTTTCTACCAAAATTCTGACTCGAGGTGTTTAGTTGCATATTTTTATATCTAATATGAATTTATATAAACAAATAAAATTATAGGGGTGTAATTCACACAAAATCAAAACTATAAGGGGTGTTTTTCAGATCTTCCCCTTTATTTTATATACACATGCATTGTAATTACATGCATTTTATTATCCTAATTAATATGTGCTCTCTCTCAAATCATGATATTGAATCCTAAACTTTTTCACTTCTATTAACGATAATATCTTTCTCCTATTTGATCTTTGGATGAATTGTATTTATTATTCTCAACACAAAGAAAAAATATTTTTAAAACTAACTCAAAAACATATACTTTGGAGAAGAAAGGAAAACCAAATATAAAAAATAAAAAAATCACCATTAAATTTGCGCGGAGAGAAAGGGAGAGATGGAGCGTTAAAGGGGGAATGACAATTACGGAATCAGAAATTGTAAGAATGAAATATTTTACGGTGCAAGGATTCTTTGGTAACTTCGTTTGAAGAGAGAAAGAGGTGGGAGCGTGTAACGGGTGGGCGCTTGCCCATTTATCCAAAAGTTCGAACTATTGGGTAGTGCTGCATACCCACCCATTTATATACACTTCAACCCCTATCCAAATCCGATGTGGGACAAGTTTCACTTGTAACATTCTCTCCCACCCGAACCCACGCAACGCCCTTATTGCTGTCGGACCACCCTGCCTACCCGGAGACAGACCCGGACGCCTTCCGGGCCGAGCACTTGGCGTGACACCGGATTAAGGACTGGGTCTGGCTTTGATACCAACTGTAATGGGTGGGCGCTTGCCCATTTACCCAAAAGCTCGAACTATTGGGTAGTGCTGCATACCCACCTATTTATACACACTTCAACCCCCATCCAAATCCGATGTGGAACAAGTTTCACTTATAACAGAGCGCCAACTCCCAATAATTAAAAAAAAAAAAAAGACCCACCGAATTATTGTTTTTTTTTTTACAAATAACTCTGAATTATAAATTGTCCTCCTAAATTATTGATTTATTATAATTAAGAACAAACTCATCACAAAAAACTATTTCGTCATTTCTCATTAAATTTGTTATTTTTATTAAATTATTATTATTATTTTATATTTTTATTATCTAAAAATTAATTATATCATTTACCTTAATTTTATTATTAGTATCAATTTATCATAAAAAAAATTATAACTACCATTTTCTAAATGATTAACTTATTACTAAAAATTTACTATTTATAATAAAACTTATTATATTCAGTTTAAACTTTTTTACTATTAAAAATACTTTTTCTCATAAAATATATTCTTAAAATTTTAATAAATTACTTAAATAAAAAAATATCATCATTTTCATTTTCATGAAATAAATTCATGAAAATTAAAAAATTACTTAAATTTTTATTTAAATAATTAATTTTAAAAATTAAAGACAAATTTATGCAAAAATATGTGATCAAATTAGTATGAATTAGTTCTCAAAAGTTTTTCCAAAAAAAAAAAATTGAAAGACTGTTGCCGCCCAGGATCGAACTGGGGACCTTTAGTGTGTAAGACTAACGTGATAACCACTACACCACGGCAACCAGTTGTGCCCTACTTTTCTAATTATAATTTGTAATTCTTTTTTATAATGGTCTTGTAATCCATGATGTTTCATTCGGAAGCTCCATTCATTTATGTTATACAAACTTTTGAACTTATTATTTTTAAACATGAGACACTAATCAGCCTCTACTTAAAAATATAAAATTACGTATATCTGACCCTATTCAGATACTTAAACACTACATTGATGAAAATTTCGTCCATTAAACTAGCCTTGTTTTAAGACATGAAAATAAAGTTTATGTCAAACTTTTATCACTCTGAACTAAGTAAGGCTGTACATGGAGGGACCATATTGGGTGACAAAAGTAGATGTGTCATAAAAGAAGATTTTTTTTTTTTAAGGAAAAGAATAATGTTACATTAGACATTAGCGGGTGTAAAGACTCGAAATCGGGTTTCTAGGACAACGGGAACAACCCAATTATTAGGCTACGGTGACGTCACTCATAAAGGAAGAAGTTAATTTGGAAAATATGATCAAATGATGGAAATGGTGGAGATAAACCAAAACGGAAAAAGAGAAATTACTTAGTCTCCATACTTATTGAAGATGAGAGATTCTTAAAGGGTTAGGGTTTCTTGATTTGTTAGAACATATTTTCAAAAATAAAAAATAAAAAACTACAAAAAACTATAAAAAATAATTTTCTGAAAACAAGTTTTTTAGTTTGTAGAGACCGTAACCATTTTCTTTCTAACATATATTTTTTCCGTTGTGGAACGTTACACAGCCAATTAAATTTTTTTTTTTTAAATTGAGATTTGAAGGTAATGTTGTTCAATGTGATTCATGATGCACTGGTCTACTCTATAAAGTTTATGTCAAAACTACTTTCAATCATGGAGGAGGGACCATATTGGGTGGCAAATGTGGATGTGTCAAACGTTCCTAGGATAATGGGGAGCAACCCATATGGCGACGTTCACTCATGGAGAAAGAAGTTAATTTGAAAAATAAGATTGAATGATGGAAAAGGTGGAGATAAACCAAAAACGAAAAAGAGAGAAATTACTTCATCAACTATCCGTACTTATTGAAGATGAGAGATTCTTAAAGGGTTAGGGTTTCTTGATTTATTAAAATATATTTTCAAAAATTAAAAAATTAAAAAATTACAAAGAGTTATAAAAGATAATTTTCTAAAAACAAAATTTTTTAGTTGGTAGAAGCCGTAGTCATTTTCTTTCTAAGATATATTTTTTCCATTGTGGAACATTACACTGCCAATTAATATTTTTTAAAAAAAATTGAGATTTGAAGGTAATTCGGTTCAATGTGATTCATGATGCTCGTAGTCCTTGAAAAAGTGAGGAAAATTCTTTTATTTGAATTTTCTTCCCCTTTTTGGAGGGGTTTGATGCTACAGATTGGACTGGTCTATACATACCTATCAATAATTGTTGGACATCACAAAATGGGCCAACCACATGTGTACCTCACATGCATGCATTTTAAAATTATTTTATGTTTTATATATGAGTAATGTTCCCAAGAGAGAATAGATATGGGTGGGTGCGCTACACCAATTAAGTACTGGTTGATCCAAATCGTACTTGTACTACCTTCTCTCTAATAGAATTATCTCATGAATTCTCTCTATTTTTTTTTTTAGATATGTGAAAAATTGAATTACTTATTTATTACTTTTTGATTTTATATAAAAAAAAAGGAGCTCATAATTCTTCGATTCACTTAAGAGCATTACTCATATTTTATTCTTTTATCTAATTTGAAAATTTCCCCATTTTTTGGGTGGTGACGCTTAGAGATTGGACTATAGTATATATATACATACCCCATCAATGGTTCTTGCACATCACAAAACAAGATAGTCAAGTCTAGCTCCAAAACCTCTCATCCCAATGCCTACATCTCAGCCTCTTCCTCCTCCAAAATATGTAGAAGAAGATGTGGTGACCCAAGAATGCAAGGACTTATTGTCCTCCCTACCTAAAGAGAGAGGGTGGGTTGCAACCTATCTCTACCAATACCAAGGCTTTTGGCACCACCCCAGGCAATTGCAAGGTGTACTTTCATGTCAACAACACTTCCAAGCACAAGATACAGACATCCTCCTTGTCACCACCCCCAAATCCGGCACAACCTGGCTGAAGGCACTCCTTTTCGCTTTGGTGAACCGGACTCGCTATCCCGACACCCAAACACACCCTCTACTCACCAACAACCCTCACATTCTCGTCCCCTTCTTGGAGCTCAAGCTCTACCTCGAAAACAAAGTCCCCGACCTCACTTCCTTCGCATCCCCAAGGCTCTTTGCGACTCATCTGCCATTCCTGTCGGTCCCAAAATCCGTGGGGGACTCGGAATGCAAGCTTGTGTATCTCTGCAGGAACCCTAGGGACACTTTTGTTTCGCTTTGGCACTTCACAAATAAGTTGAGACCCCAAAACACAGGCACAAATTCGCTTGAAGAGGTGTTTGATCTGTTTTGTAGGGGAGTGAGCCTCTATGGACCCTTTTGGGACCATGTTTTGGGTTACTGGAAGGAAAGTTTGGAAAATCCTCAAAAGGTTCTTTTCTTGAAGTATGAGGACATGAAAGCAACACCCACTGTTCATCTGAGGAGACTAGCTGAGTTCTTGGGGTGCGCGTTTTCCGCAGAGGAAGAAACCAAAGGGGTGTTGGATGAGCTGTTGAGGTTGTGTAGCTTCGATAATTTGAGCAATTTGGAGGTGAATGTGAACGGAAAGTTGCCTTCCGGTGAGGAAAATAAAGCATTTTTCCGACGAGGCGAGGTCGGAGACTCCAACAATTATCTGACTGCTGAAATGATTGACCAGTTTGATCAGATTATTGAAGAAAAGTTGCATGGTTCTGGTTTAAAATTTTAGGTCGGTCTCCTAATGTTCATGTGTTTTAATGATTACCTAAAAAATAAATAAAGATTGTGTTATATATTTATGCTGTCAAAGCTCAAAGTCAACTTCCAGTTGACTGATGCTTTGGTAGATTTAGTTGGATTGCTTCTTTGTTCTCTCTTTGGCTTGCCTCGGATTGTAATCTTCGGGTTTTCTTTCAATAAAATCTTACCTAATTATCGAAAAAGAAAAGAAAAAAAAAATCTATTTTATTTAATTTTTATTTTTGAAAGGTTAGCATGTATTTGTATGTTTCTGGTGCTTTTCGAATCTTGTACGAAAACGGCATTATTAATTGTTTAATATGGATCGATTTGTTGTATGATTGTGACGTTGGAAGCTGAATAATTGCTGAAATATTATTTTCTAATGCTAAGTTTTGAAAAGTTAATGTACATTGTTAGAAGTTGAATTATTTCTGAATTATTGAATAAAATGCTAGTATCTTTTGAAAAGTTGATGTAAACTTATGTCGGTACGCTAAGGCTCAAGTGACAGATCACTTTACATGTTATCAAATCATGCATTGTCATAAATTTAGTCCCATGCTTTTAATTTATTTTTTAATTTTTTTTAGGATTAGAGAAATTGAATTTAAATTGGTATCTTGGTTTAAGTATGATTTGGGAGTTTGGACGAATCAGGGAGTAACCTTGTTTTGAAATCTCATCGGGGCATTTAGTAACGAAAAATATTTTTTATTTTTATTGTCAATCTCTAAAAAAATAAAACGAAAATAAAAATCACGTTTAATAAAATATTTTTATTTTTTATAACAGAAAACGTTTTTAATTTTTGTGAATAAAAGAGGAAACATAAAAATGATGTTTTCTATTTTTTGACACTGTAGCACAACAACTTTTTCACTAATATCACTACACATGCACTATTCATTTCAAATAAAATTCATATTATTTGTGTTATATACTAAGTTGCATATTAAATGTCAATAAAAATATATATTTTTAACATATAATATATTAAATATGGTATATTATTTTTTATTTGATAAAAATATATTTTAATATATAATATATTAAATAATAATGTAAATTTTTTTTGTGACAAAATCATTTTTGATATAGAATATAATGTTATTAAATTACTAAGTAGTAGATATTTTATATTATTATATATCATATCCATATTATATTATATGTAAATATTAAATTATAATTAATTTACAATATTATAACACAACATATATTTTATTACATATAAGATATATTATTTAATATTTTTTATTCATAATAAATTATCATATGCTCAATATATTATATATCACATAATAAATGTATATATTATGCATATACATGTATTTATATATATAATTGGTGGGAATGTTTTTGTCTTGGTATATCTAATTTTGTACTTGTAATGTATTGGGTATTTTTAAGATTTATAATTTTAAATTAGATTTTCTAGATTTATGGTTTTTGGGTACTAATGGAAGCAAGTGTCATGGGTTGCTCTCTATATCCGAGAGTTCGTGTTCAAGTCATCTACCTTCTCCCTCACCTCTAATCACTAACTCCTAAAATTTTTGTCGTGAAAAAATTAAAAAATAAAATAAGAAATTTAAAGAATATTATGTGCATTTTGTATCAAATAAGAAATTTAAAGTTAATAGTAGTGTTTTGGTAAAAAATGAAAAACACATTTAAGTATGATATTTTATTGTGAAAATGTCGAAGAAAAAAAAATAATAATTTTTATGGTTTTGGATCATGAACGGTTATTAAAGTAAGAAAAAATAATTTTTTGATATTTTGGTTTTAGGCTACTGTTTATGAAATGTTTTAGTACTGTGTAAAATAAAATAAGGCCGCACCAAACATACTTTTGTTGCTAAAATCGACACTATAACAGCAAAAAAATAAAAATAGCAGAAACAAAACGCATGACGTATCTAGTGTACATAGTGTGGATTCGAATTCGTTTCATTGGGCAAATTTGCGATTTAAATGTCACGTGTGTCATGGGATTGGTATGAATGAAGGGTTATCTAATATTAAGAAGACTTTTTATTTTTTAAATAAAGAAAAAAGAAAAAGAAAAAACACCCGATACCATATATATTTAGGTATAAGGTTGGGGAGGACTATTTGGTCTTTTGTATGTAACTTTGTGATTGGCTAGGACCATATGATTTTGACACGTGCAAAGAAGACGTAGAACTAGATTAGTGGAGAAAGAGAAGAAAAGAGAATTTTTTTTAGGAGAGTTTAGAGATCTTTATTGGAGTCTCTATCCCTATTTATATTGCCCAACTTCTTTCCTAGGTTCGATGCAGAATCCTTTCTTTGGTTTGCAAGAATTGAATTTCGACTTCGATGCTGGGCTTGGGCCTCCTCCTCAAACTGATGGGCCTGTCCATCATCCGGAATGGGCCTATTCTCACACTGTGCCTCTCAATCATTAGGTCTGTATGCTTGGCCCCCACCTAACTTGGTGGAGAGATTTCCTTTCTATAGTGCGTTGCTTAAGAAAGTGACATAATCGAGTTAATATTACGAAAAGTGGAAGATCAAAGTTAACGTGTGAAGAGTTTCACTAAGACTCAATCAATTTCCTCAAGAATCTCCTACCAGGTTTCTCTTGAGGGGTGTAGACACTAAAATTTTAGTAGACTTTGGTTTTGACAAATGGACCCATTAAATATGGGCATAATGTTTAATTAAGTTATTTAATTGGCCCAAGCTTGATCCATTTAAATTATTTAATTAGCCCAGCCCAGATGGTTAAATAAAAAGAATAATTATTCCTAATAAAATATATTTGGAATAATTATTTTTAAGGATAATTATCATAATATAACCGGCCCGGCTCAGTTATTATTTTATCTTTATTAGAAGATGACACGTGTAATCATCCTATTAATCTAAAAAACATATAAATAGAGGCCTGAAGGAAGAAGGACGGCACACAATCAGAGTCCAGAAAATCTAGGGACAAAATTTAGAAATCCAGAAGGTCCAGAAATTCAGAGACTTAGAAATCCAGAGGGTCCAGAAATTTAGAGACATCAAATTCAGAATTCAGAGATCCAAGAAATCTTATCCCCAACATCCAAATCCAAAAGCGAAAAACACTAAGCACATCAAATCGTGCCGTTCTTCATCAAATTCCACAGTGATCAACAACAAGCACATTCAAAGACGTGTTGTTCTTCATCCAAATTCCATAGTGATTCAAGATTAAGCTCGTGCAACCCTTGGATCCAATCAACCAAAAAGGAGATCGGATTAGAGGATCTTATTCTTTGGAATATTATTACAAAGGATTGTACTCCATCTTTATAAATTAATAAAATATTATATTTGCTCCATATTTTGTTCTTATTTGCATACTACAAAATTTGTGTGTACAAATTTCTGGTACACCCGGTGAGACCTCCTTTGCCTCTCATCTCTTTCTCCTACCATCAAGTTTCTTCTTTATCAGATTTTATGGCTCCCCCTAAGACTCAGACAGACAAGAAAGCCCAAAAGAACATCGCTACTGCAAAGGTCGACGCCAAAGCCACCATGAAAAGTGGCATGAAAGCCAAATCAAGTGATGGAAGTACCTTTGCGGGCCCTGTGACACGTAGCAAGTCCCAAGCAATCGCGACATCTAAACATCAGAAAGATTTGGTGAAAACCAGTCCTGTAAAACCGGCGAACATGAAAACTCAACATGTCAAGAACCCTGACGTTGTTCCAGAGGAGATTTCGCCACCAGATTTACCTCATTCCATTTATGATGCTCACTCTAGTGTCGGTTCACCCCTAAAGTCACCTCGTCAAACTTCGGAGCAATCAATCACTTCAAGGAATGTTGACTCTCAAGGCCAATCATACTCAAATGTGGTCGTTACTATAATGATTGGAGCCGCCACGGTGGAGGAACAACTAGCAACTATGTCTCGTGCCATTGAGAACCTCACAAAGACTGTTGAAGAGAAGGACTTGCAAATTGCTACACTGATGAACAAATTGGAAGTTCAGACCTTCGGTGAATCACCAATACAGTCTGGGAATCCTACATCTTCCACAGCAGCACCACCTGGGAATCTTGTAACTTTCACACCACCACCATCTGGGAATCCTAATTCGATAGCACAAGGTACTCGCATGGAGGATCCCAAACAGCTGCCGGTGATAGAACAGGCGACTGGTCAAACCAATCATGCTTCTTTAGTCTCTTTATTATTTGTCGAACAATTGCAAGATATGATAACGAATACAATCCGAGCCCAATATGGATGCGTCTTACAGAGCACTCTCATGTACTCAAAGCCCTATACAAGGAGAATCGACAATATGAGGATGTATATAAGATACCAACCTCTGAAAATTTAGCAATTTGATGTAAAAGGCAACCCCAAGCAACACATTGCCTATTTTGTCAAAACTTGCAATAATGCTGGAACTGATGGGGACTTACTAGTTAAACAGTTTGTTCGCTCCCTTAAAGGAAATGCGTTCTAGTGGTACACTGACCTAAAGTCAGAATCAATTGACAGTTGGGACTAAATGGAATGAGAATTCTTGAATTGGTTATATAGCACTCGTTGTACTGTTAGTATGATAGAATTGACTAACACGAAACAATGAAAGGATGAACCTGTAATTGACTACATTAATCGGTGGCGAGCACTCAGTCTTGACTGCAAGGACCGATTGTCAGAAATCTCTGCTGTAGAGATGTGTATGTAGGGAATCCATTGGGGCCTTCTTTACATTCTCCAAGGCATAAAACCTCACACATTCGAAGAATTGGCTACGTGTGCCCATGACATGGAGATCAGTATAAAATCTCATGACGACAAAGGTCCGGTAACCATAGAACCACGCATAGACAAGAAGGACTGGAAGAAGGACGACAAGTCGTCAAAGACCGATGTTAAAAATTCCATGGCTATCTCAACTACCCCAATCAAGATATTTGTTAAAGATGACAAGAATAATGATAAAAAGCCTCGCCAGTTTCAAGAGAGGGAAAGACAGCGTCCTACGCTAAAAGAGTTAGAGAGGAAGGAATACCCCTTCCCCGATTCTGATGTCCCTAGCATATTGGACTATTTACTCGAAAGTAAAGTTATAGAACATCTTGAATGCAAACGCCTTCAAGAGATGGGACGTGTTAACGACCCGAAATACTTCAAATATCATCGTATTGTCAGTCATCCAATTGAGAAGTGTTTTATCTTTAAGGAGGTGGTGATGAATCTGGCAAAACAAGGAAAAATCTTATTGGACACAAACGAAGTTGTAACTTCAAATCATACTACTGTTATTTTGACAACCTCTATCGTAGGGAGTGCTCGTTCTCAACCTT